AAAGAATGCTGTATATATTCTGGATATTAAACACTTGTCAGATACATGGTTTCCTATTCTGTAAGTTTTCTTTTCACTTTATTAATGATGTCCTTTGACGTATAAAAGTTTTCAATTTTGACGAAGTCGAATTTATCTAATTTTTCTTTTATTGTTTCTGTTTTTGGTGTCAAATCTAAGAATTTATTGCCAAATATGAGGTCATGAAGGTTTACCCTTCTGTTTTTTCATTTGGAGTTAATTTTTGTATATGGAGTGAAGTAAAAGTTCAACTTCATTCTTTTACAAATGGTTATCCAGTTGTCCTTGAATTGTTGAGGAGACTATTCTTTCCCCAGAGAATGGTCTTGGCACCCTTACCAAAAATCAATTGGCCGTAGATGTATGGGTTTATTTCTGGACTCTCAATTGTATTCCATTGGTCTGTATGTCTATCCTTATGTTAAAACCATACTGTTTTGATCTCTGTAGCTTTGTATTAAGTTTGAAGTAAGAAAATTTGAGTCCTCCAACTCTATGTTCTTTTTCAATATTGTTTTGGCTTTTGAGGCCCCTTGTAATTCCATATGGATTTTAGGATCAACTTGTCCATTTCTGAAAAAAGACAGCTGGAATTTTAATAGGGATTGTGTTGAATCTCAGTTTGTGGAATACTGCCATCTTAACAATATTAAGGTTTCCAATTTATGAGAATAGGATGTCTTTCTATTGATTTAAGTCTTCTTTTATTTCTTTCAGCCATGTTTTGTAGTTTGCAGTATAAAAGCCTTTCACCTCCTTGGTTAAATTTATTCCTAGGTATCTTATTTTAGATGCTATTCTAAGTGGAATTGTTTTCTTAATTTCCTTTTCAGAATGTTCGTTGCTACTATATATAGAAATACAACCGATTTTTGTGTGTCGACCTTGTAACTCACAAATTTGCTGAATTCATTTATTAGCCCTAATAGATTTTTTTGTCAGTTCTTTAGGATTTTCTCTATAACATCATGTCATCTTTGAATAGAGACAGTTTTATTTTAATATTTTTTCCTCTCCAATTGAATGCCTTTTATTTCTTTTTCTTTCCTAATTGCTCTGGTGAGAACTTCCAGTACAATGTTGAATAGAAGTGGTAAAAACAGGCATCCTCGTCTTTTTCCTGATCTTAGGGGGAAGGCCTTTAATTTTTCATCATTGAATATAATGCTGACTGTGTGGTTTTCATAAATGCCCCTCATCAGGTTGAGGAAGTTCCTTTATATCCTGGTTTGTCAAGTGTTTTCATCATGGAAAGGTACTGAATTTGTCAAATGCTTTTTTGGTATCAATTTAGATGATTATGTGTTTATTTTTTTCTCTTCATTCTACTAAGAGGTGTATTATGCTGATTGCTTTTCATATGTTGAACCACTCTTGCATTCCTGGGATAAATCCCACTTGGCATGGTGCATGATCCCTTCTAATATGCTGCTCAATTTGGCTTGCTGGCATTTTGTTGAGGATCTTTCCATCTATATTCATGGGGGATACTGGTTTGCAGTTTTATTGGGACGTCTTTTCCAGTTTGGGTATTAAGGCAATGCCAGCCTTACAAAATGAGTTAGGAATATTGTTTCTTATTTTTTAGTTCCTTTATATATTCTGAATATAGTCTCTTATGATACATATCATTTGCAAATGTTTTATTCCAGTCTGAGGGTTATCTTTTCACTTTCCTTTTTTTTAAATTTCTTTTTTGTTTGTTTGTTTTTCTACCTTCCTTTTTTTTAATTTGAAGACCGCTTTTAAAAAATAAAAAACAATTATTGGGCTGGGCGCGGTGGCTCACGCCTGTAATCCTAGCTCTCT